GAGTTTTGTAAATATACAGATCAGAACAGCTCTGCATTTGATTGTTGCAGGACAGATGTTTCAAATTAAAGTCTTTTTTTATACCCATAAGACTAGTGTTAGAGCCATGGATATTTCTAACAGCACAGTTAATCTGTATAAACTTTATATATCCACTGCAAGAAGTGAAGACAATTTATGGTACTAGCTGGGATGGAGAAGCCTTATCTCCAGAAGGTATATTGCAATAGCTTTCTAAACCAAAAGTTATAAAATACTGGAAATTATCTCTCCAAACCATACCTTCAGGGCTTTGAACACTTCAGTCAGCATAGAAACCTGATCCTTTTGACAGCATGAGGTGGAAGGAAGAGAAAGGCAGTAGGAGTTTTGCATTTTCCTCCTTGGAATGCAAAGGATCAGGAAAGGGAAGGAATTGGAAGCTTGGTACATGATGTCAAGAAACAATTGTATCATTGGTTTTGTTAAGATTTCTTCATTTAGTGCCAAAATCAAATGCTTACATTTCAGTTGAAAAATAAATGATTAATTATTCATAGATTTAGTTTTACAATATTTAAAAAACATTGCAGAATGCCATGTGCTTAAGACACTTTCTTACAGTATGTAACAATTATATCAGTAATGTCAGCAGCTTACTGTTGAAAGGATATACTGTTCCAGAAAAGAAGTTTTCCTACTTTTATGCTGTACATATGAGGACCTGTTTTTCCCAATTTAAGAAACATAGGTATGGATATAGATGTGTACAGTATTATGTACTGTATATTGAATGTGCAATATAATAATGTTGGTTAAAATCCAAATTATATTTAAATGTATGAAGGAAAATATGCAATGACTACATATATCATTTTTAAGAACAAAGAAAGTTACATTATTATTAGTAAAGCATTGCTCTGTTTAAAATTAATATGTTTCACCAATTTGATTTGGAGTTGCTCAGTTCTTTCTAATAAGAATATGATGAAAAGGTGAAAGTATAAATGTATAAATGAAACTAATGTGTAACACTGTCATCTAAGGAAGATTGAGTTGTTAAATTAGAACCAAACTACTGATGTAGTTAGCCATTGTTTTAAATATTTCATTAAAATCAATTTCACCATGTCTCCACAAACATGATGTCATGGAAAAGTATTACAAACAAAATACATGCAAAACTGAATGCTCAATTTGCGAGGTACAGCTGAGGAAAGGTAAACAATGCTGATTTCAGAGTCAAATTAGGGAATCTAAGCTTTACAGACCGATGGAAAATATGAGGTGTCATTCAGTTGCACAAAATTAAATAAAGTTAATGAAATTCTCATGGAACTGTGAGAATGAGTGGGACATTTTAACATTGTCTTCCTATGCTACAGTAAATTGCTGTTACTTGCTTAGCTCAAACATCTTTGAGTTCTTTCATTTCTGATTTGAGACATTGGAATAACCCCTGTATAATATAAGATCAATAAGAGAAAAAAAATAACTACATTCTAGCCCTGGATGAGATTTTTATTAGTCTATTTATGTTTTTATGTATTTATGTTCACTGTTTAATTAGATTGTAAGGAATGCAATAGAGGGATGATATATTTAAAGTATTTGATATATCTTGCCTAGCTAATGGAATGACGGACCACGTTTGCAAGGAGTGAGACAGGTAGTTGCTCTAAGGGTGTAAATGTGATGGTGAGAGTGATGTGAGAGAAAAACTTGAAGGGAAGTCCTGGGTGAGAGACTTACATACATTAGGTTAGTACAAGTGTACATAATTAGTATTTAACCTTTCTCCTGAACTTCTGTTATAAACTTCCATTTTCTAACATTTCTTTGTTATATGTTAGCATTCTCATAAAGAGTTAGAAAAAGTATTTTAGCACTGGAGAATATGAAATATCAGTTTTCTCAGACTTGTGACTCTAATAATAGATTACAATTATGATCTCCAATAATAGATTATAGTGATACAACATTGAATGATAAAACTTAAATCTTCAAATGCAAAGCTGCCAAACACTGCATAGTATACAGTATATCCCAAGAGAGCCCTATTTATGGATGATTCACTTTATTTTTGCTGAATGAAACTAGGTTTTAAAGTTCTTATTCCAAAATATATTGTAAGTGGTCAAATTAAAGTGATTTTTTAACATTTTCTAAATAATAGATGAGAAGGTAAAGAATAAATTAAGGGATTATTTTTTCTAGATCTTATAAAAATCCATGAAGTACACAATTAATAGGATGATATGCTGATAATTGGTTTGTATTTGCTCTTTAGGGTCTTCAAGTAATGACTACAAGCACAATATGTCTGTCTGTTTTGTACACCTCTGAGCTTATGACTGAATTATTTCCCATTGTGGGCAAACTGACCATGTAATTAATTAATAATAGAGTGGGCAATATACCCATAGTTTTCTGCAGTAGCAAATGAACAGTCTAATACAGTATCTTATTAAGATAGATTCTCAGTAATAGCTATACTGTACGTTTCATGTTATTCATATGCTTAAGATCAACAAGATAAAAAGGTAGGTTTTAGGTGCATAAGATATCATTTTTATTGGCATTACAGTTGGTAAAAAAGCTCAATGCCAAGCTTAACTGTGCAGGAACAAATTTGTGAGTTGTATGTACAATATATTGGTGTTTTTAAATATTGTAGTACGTGTGATTTTTGTGTTTTGTTGCTGTTCTATACTCTAGTGCATAATAAAGTAAATAAATACCAAGGTTATTTGCTTTTCGATGTATATTTATTTAAATAACTTTGAAACAAGCAAAAATTTGATTCAGCACATTACTCCTCAACCAGTGCCTCTCTAAAAGAAATGATGTGTTTAACATACAAGAGGATGACTATGACAAACAATACAATTCTGACCTGGCCTCAACACAATGAAAATGTCTAAATCTAAAATCTAGATCATGAAAATAGCCCCAGGCAAATGTTATTGCAGAAACAGAGCAAACATTGAAGAATGGGGAAATAAACCCCCCCCCCCCAAAAAAAAATCATCCAAAAATTGGTTGGCTTTCATGTCGTCGATGTTTCACCTGATTTAGGAAGTGCACTCTGCATTGTGCAGGTTGAGTAATGTGATTTTAAGATTGCCTGGTTTGCATCCTGCTCATGCCGGGCACTTGATCATAGCAGGAGACTGTGCTGGACTGGTCTTTGAGGCAAGGGAGGAAAACACATCAATGGTAGCTGGTTTGCCTTATTACACCAAAATGACCTCTTTTGAGCAAATGGCTGGTGCGACAGAGGTGAGCACCCTTCTCCTACAGTGGCTTAAAGTGAAAAAAGCAGGCAAGCAAGATAGAAGGATTGCAAACATTCCATTTACTGTCAATCCATTTGGTTGGTTGCCAAGGGAACTGGCCATTCCAGCAAACAGAAAGTATAAGGATAAAAACATTGTGAGGAATAATGGAAAACAATGGTGAGATCAACTAAATACCTTGAAACACTATAGTTTTCAACATAATAAACATGCAAAAAATATTTTATTACATAATAAAGAAGCAGTGAAAGAAATTAAATTCTAAGCAACAATGTGTTATTAGATCTTATTTTTCTGACATTATTATGTTCTGTTAAATTGAAAACAGTGTCAACACTGAGTTTGATATCTAGGTATTCAGACTTTTAATTGTAAGGCCACAAGGAATACTTTTCTACTCATGGAATAATACTATAGTGCTCAGAGCTAATTTTAAAAAATATGATCAGGTTTTGTTTTAATAGATTCATGAATATGTTATTGAAATGCTTCCACTAAATAATTATTTTAAACTTTTTTGCCTTAATCTAACATACAGTAACTCATTATAGTTTCAAAAAGCGAAACCTTTAATAACCAAAAATATTTAATAAATTCAGACCTACAAAAAATAATTGTCTCTTCAAACGGAATTCTGAATTTTCAAAATAATTTATACAAGCACATGCTTACTCAATATACCATCAGATATTCTGCCCAAACAAATTGATAGTACACCCTGGTCCTCTTTATGATTTTATGAACTGACACTATATATCAGAAAAGTGGCAGAAAAGTGGGTCAAGAAACCCACTTTTCTGCTATCCTATCACTCTGCACATGAAGAGAGGAAGCAGAGTTTGGTGAAAATAAAATGTGTCAAATACTAGTTTTTGTGCTGCTTTTGCAGAAATATTCCAAATTACTTATTACTTCATGCCTGTTTTTATTAATGTTGTATTGTTCTTGTTCCAATGTTTTTATCAGTGGTAGAGTAACATTGTTTGAATTCAACAATGATTTGGCTAATTTATTTAATGACTAATTCACAAAGAACAACCAATGGTGCTAATTCATTATTATGTTCTGAGGTCTAGAGGAGCCTTTCACTTCCTCAGACTGTGTGAACAGACATGAGTGATTGCTGTGTATTTGCTTTAGAAAGATTTCACCTCTAAATGTCCTTTTGTCAACATAATCTCTTCACTTGACATCCAATGACAATGAACAGGTGAGAAAGAGTTTGTGCATACATTATAATGCCAGACCTATCCCATTCCAACTTGTATTATATATTTACATCAGGAAATAGCATGTGATAATGAAAATTTTCACATGAAATTGGTGTTATGTGAGAAAATGAAAAGGGGTTTTTCATGTGTTCTATCTGATATTTACTCTGGTCTTCTCTGCAGCAGTTTTTTTTTACCACTTTAGCTCACATTTGTCCCCAGATAAGTGAAAGCACACTATCACTTCAAGTGAAAATAACCACTCCTGAAAACTGGTCTAATTAGTTAGTAATGTCTCATCTGAAAACATGGTATTGACAAATTCGTATAATACATATGTACAGGTGTCCTATACATTTCTAAGGAAATATACATTTGACTTTAAATTTTGCTTTTATGTTAGACACACTTGTCAAGCAATAAAATATTTTTAAAAAATGTTGTGTCATGAATTAAAACGAAGTTGACTGAGTACATAACTTGTTGAAGAATGTTTAGCTGAGAATTAAAGTCATCTTTTCTTCAGGTTTTCTTGTGATCTTCTTAAAAGTGACTGGTAGATTTCTGACTTCAGAAACCTTGGATAACAGTCCCTTGCCAATAGACCATATATCATTTTCTGTGCATTATCAAAAGAATTGATGTTTGGTTGAGAAATATTCTTTGTAATATTTTCTCTGGTTCCACAGTCTATATTAATCTGTAAAGAATAAATATGCAAGTTGGTCATTGAACTGTATATGATTCTTAATCTTTCAACACTTGATATTTTTGTCATATTAGTAAAAAATCGAACTCTACAGACCCTAAGGTATTTTGTTGATTAATACTTAGATTCTGTTATTTTAGAAAATTATGCAGAATATTGTAGAAAATTGCTTTTAACCTCTCACTGAATTACCTATAGTTCAATATATATATGGGTAATACGAGTTTTTCATGATGTGCAATTTGTTTACAGCACAATTCAGAATTTTATAACCTTACAGAAAGTTTGTTAGAAAAATTAAAATAATACAAACATGTTCACAAAAAATCGAATGCTAATTTAGTTACTGATTTTAATATCCTCCAGCACTTTTAATTTACTTTTAAATTATAAAATGGATGAGAAATATTTGAATTACAGAGGTCTTCTTCCTACATTTTGATTGCTTCCTATATTTTAATTTCTCTTCTTAAATTCAAACCTTTTTTCATTTTTGTTTATTTCATTATGCACAATACATTGTGAAAGATGTAAGACTCTGGTTCATTAATGCATTAGAAAGGAAAAATACAAAATAATTAACCAGTTTAGGAAAAGATGGACAACAATAATCTGTTTTACTACCAACCCAACCTACACAACTGGTTTTGGAATTAAATGTGAAGAAACGAATCTAAAAAAAAAAACTTTTTCACAGAAAAAAATCCTAGCTGACAGCATCCTTCTGTGTGTTGGATGTAAACAAGAAAACAGAATGCCACCTTCACTTTCGTTGTTTGAAATTTGCTGTTGGAATAACGAATAACTCATCTAACTCCAGTCTTTATAGATTAAACAGTGCATGTTGTTTTCTTGTCAAATTTTGAATCAGGTACCTGCATGTTGACTAGAACTGCAACACTTTACCTGTTTAGGGGCTTCCACTTGGACAAACTCTGTGTAGATCTTATTTGCTGTAGATATCATTTTAGGTGTGGACTTGATTTTCTTGTATTCTTCACAGGCCAGCCAAAATAATATATTTTCCTCACTGTATTCAGTTTTCAGGAATTCCCTGAAGGCGATCTGACCAGCTAAACCAGAGAAGATGTTTGTTGCAAATTTAAAGAAAAATAAATACATATGATAATTTTAAGAGACTGCTGGAATTAGAGCAGCACTCACAACAAGATAAAGAAAAAGGAAAAAAAAGTCAATGGCAATAACAATTAAAAATATTTCATCATATACAATTTAAGGATCATTTCAATATTAATCTACAGTATGTCACCATAAAGAAAGGCTCATTTTTTTAAACAGTTGAAGTAAATACTGTATCATGGGCTAAGGTGTTTTCAAATTCAGATTTTTTTCAGACTTACATAACAAGTGGAATTACAGTAAAAAAAGATTTGTCTTCTTTAACTGAAAACTAAACATAATTTAATATGGGGAATATAAAACCTCTAATCACCCCCAAAATACCAGTTACCACTAGGGTGTACAGTATGCTTTTTAAAATGCATTAGCCTCCATTCTGCATGTATAAATGATTTTTATGTGAATGAAGACATTTAATTGGATTCATGTCTTCACAAAAATAATAAAAACGTAAAATACCACATGTCCATACATTTACATTCCAGTAGTTTGTCCACCGATTCAGACCATAACGAAACTTCTTCAAGTGGATCCCTAGGAAAAAAACAACATCTACCCTTGAAAATAGCATTGAGATCTTTTACCTGTGAATTCATTGGTAATATTTATTCCAGAAAATTTACTTCATTTTACCTCATTTCTAGGAGAAACACCTAGAGCATCTAATCTTTTTTCAATTTTATTTTTGTTTTCAAAACCAACCAACCAATAAATCAATTACCATTCAAATCAATATATGAACTATTGCCTTCGGCTATATGTACAAGCACTTTGCATTCTTTTTTGAGCCTGCAGATACTTAATGTTAATGTAATGTATTGAGGGAAGATCAGCATAAATACCAATAAAACATAATTTTACATTTGTTGTTATGGTCTTGCACCATCACAAAGTAATGAAGCATAAAAATATACAAAATTGTGAGACTATTTTAAAAACACATATATAAAAAGACTGTCTAAAATTATTTATTTGTAATTTGGTGTTAAATAAAATCACTCTCTCTAGTTTTTAATATAATTAGAAACTCACTTTATCGCCATGCCTCTTTTCTTTTTTCCTTTCTCTGTATTGTTCTTGTAGTTCCAAACTAGCAATGATTCTATTGTGGTAGAGTCAAAAGCACAGACTGAACTAAAACTTGCCAGGACTGTAGAAAGAAAATATTAAAATTAGTATGCAAAATACAAGAGATTAGTAAACCACTGCTAGCCCCATGACCCTTCTGATTTTGTGTTTTCTTACATCGCTCAACATCATCTGTGATTTTGATATGTTTCCAAATAAATATCTAGATCAGTACTTCATAATTACTCATTTTGTAAATGCAGTAAAAAAACAGTCTTCCATACTTGAAGATGTGAGGCTTATAGGAGAAAATCTGTAAGGAATCAATAGGTCAACACATCTTTGATTTGGTTATTAAAATGCTATATTTAATTTTGCTATTTGTAAGGTTTATTCTGTAACATCAACAATCTGATTTTAATAGTTGTGTTTGTGAGCATATGCATCTGCAATTATTTAGATTTCTTAAAAGTTTTTTTAGTTATATGGATTTAATTAAATGTACTGTAGGTAAATTAAAAAAGAGAGCTGATTAATGTGAGGCATTTTCATTCAATTTTTCATGTAGAAATACATGATTGGATAATTTTATTATTCACAAAAAATCACAAATTAAATAAATTTAAATGTAGCACTTAGAAAGGGTGTCCTTGTAATACTGAAATTATCATTTAATTTGCCTTTAAAGTGCATGCATTAAAACACTGAATTAATTTTGGAATTAATTATTACATTTAAATCATGAAGTGCAAAGAAAGTTTATTTAACTTGTTTCAAAATGTGAAAAAAGAGTTAAAGAAGTACAAAACAATACAAAATGCTGCACTGCAAATCTAAGTTGCATGAAGAGACTAAAAACTCTGTTGTATTTTAAAAAAGACAAAGTCAACATGTGACTCTGTAACAAGTGTTGGGCTCCATTGTGGGAAATGAAGCTGGATGAGGAACTCCAGCACTGAAGTTTAAAAGGTTTTCTGTCTTCTCCTCTTCAACTAGAATTCTCCTTTCTTTATGGGCTGTCACTCATTTACTTTGTATAGTAAATGATTAATTATTCTTGTAAAAAGGGCACAGAAATGTAGTAGATAGTGTACCTAATTAGTAGAATACAGAATAAACCAGTCAACCAGAGTGAATCTCTGGATCTATGGGTAGAGGGTCATGGGATTCACCAGAGTCTAACTCAGCAAGCAATGGGCACAAGGTGGGATACACCCTAGACAAGACACCAGGCCACACACTCATAGGGCACACACTGACACAGACACAAGTGTTAACACACACACTCTCACAGCTTGGCAATTTTTTCCAGAAGCCAATTATCCCACCAGTATTTCTTTGGACTGTGGTAGGAAACTGGAGTACCCTGAGCAAACCTACACCAACGTGAGAAAATATAGATAGCAGAAAGCTCCCTGGGAATTAAATCACTGCGTCACTGTGCCATTCTAGTTATATTTATACTGTTCAAAAATAAAATTATCTAAATATATTGTCCATGTCTGTTTGTCATCTGTGCCTATTTTTCTCTCTCTGTACTGTTACTGGGTACAGCTGAACAAGTAAGCATTCTAATACACTTGTTGTATATGGCAAATAAAAAAAGAATCTTGAATCCTGAATCTTAAAAATACAGGGAAGTGATTTTAAAACCGAGAACAGGAGAAACTTCTTTATACAAAGGCGTTGTCAGAGTATGGATTAAGCCATGCTATGGAAACTGATATCTTGGTTTCTTTCAGTTTTCAACTGGACTTCCAATCAATTAACTACTTAAACCAGATAGGCTATTTGAATTGAATGGTTCCCTATTGCTTATAGTTGTGTATGTGAATGCTATGCAACATATCGTGTCAATGGGTTTATAAAATAGAAAATAAGGCAATACTAATTGAGCCATATCTTTTACTAATTAAATTAGAAACTGAATTATGATCATATTGGACATTTGTTCTACAATTCCAAGAAATCACTTTGAAATAATTTTAAATGATGTTAATTATATTATTTATTATTTTATACACTAACAGAAAATAAAGAATTATAAAATGACATGTTCCAGTCTGTTGTTTAGGATATCAAGGCAGGAAAAAAACACATGATCTAATTTAAATAATGTTTACATATTTCAGAAAACAGACCATTTCTTATAGTTTATAGAGTCAAGCTGAAAGTGAATAAGAAAACACAGATATACAGTATTTTTATGGGGTACTTTCAGTATGATTTCAAACCATTTTGGGAAGAGTCCTGGGCAACTGATGTGCAGAAAACATAAGTGAGAGAAATAGTTTAATAACAAGAAAGAAGTAGAAAGGGAACACGGTCTGAGCAAATTTGCCACCACAGACCTATCTCCACATTCTGGGATTAACGTGCATTGACATAGTACTGAAGTAAATTAGGAACATGATTCATTAATGCCAAATTATGCATCAATAGATATATGTAGTCTTTAGTTTACTTTGCTGATAGTTCCACACTAATGCTGGCATTTATTTCTTCATTAAAATATTAAATAGTAAACTAATAACAATCTATACATATTTAATTAAATCATAATACAATTTTAAAGATTTGCAAACTGAATTTAAAGTTTAAAAGCCCATTTAAATTCAAATAATAATTCTCTATTTAATCAATTATGGCAAGCCACTTTCAAATGCTGCAAGGATTTACAAAAGGACACACACACAGAAATCCTTTCTTAATATCTTTTGTTTTTTGATTTGAGGGGATAAAGTGACGTTGTTAGAAGACTTTGAACAACACCAGTATATCAAAATTTCAGTTTCAGAAGAACAAACAAACAAAAAATATGAACAGTAATATGTTCATAAAAAGTCTTTTTAATTTGCAGCCTCTTCTGTTTAATTTATACTGTATGTTAAACATGATAACATATATTAATGATGCTTTTTGCACATTAACACTGTCTTAGTTAACTTAAATGTCTTAAAACTATTAAATACATAATTTTCTAGAAAATACTTTTTATTGTCATCTATAGTGTTTTGTTAGCCATCCAATGTTTTCATTAACATAAACAATGTGTTTCATATATTGTTTTTTTTTAAGATTACAGTTATCCAACTATCCATTTTTTAACCACTTTATCCACTGCAGGGTTGTTGGAGGATGTTTTGTTTACCAGGTAAACACATTAAACTTGTATGAATATTTACAACAAAGAATGTTAACAATATAATAAGTAATCGTGTTTGTAGTAGCATACTGTATTTTGTCACATACACCTTGTAAATTAAAAAAAACATTTTCTTAAAGAAAGAGCATACTTACAGGATATACTGTAGAAATGCAGCTGAATAAGGTAGAATTTCTAGTGCAGGTTTTACTGATAACCTATTTCATTCTACAGCTCTGAAATCACTTACAGCTTATTTGTGTATTATTCTTGCTTACACCTCCCAGTTTTAAACTTGATATGTGCTGCAGAAAAAGCTTTAGGTGATAGTGTTGAGGTGTTGCTGGGTAGGGTCGAGGGTAAAGTTCTTTGGGGTACACAGAGAGTCCTTAGTAAATCTAAGAAATAGGAAAAAGTTTGTCCACATTTGTGAGTTGTACAAACATGCACATTATCCTTTGAAGCATGATAAACCGAGTGGAAAAGACCACATTTTGTAAAAAGGAAAGCCATACAGGTGATATGAAAATTAATGTGTTAAGGATTACAGTGTAAATGCTTTTGTGGAAAAAGAGGAGACCAAAGAAATATAACATGATGCATGATTTTCATAGCATATTTTTGTCCTCATTCATGGAGCACTTTACCAAGCACACCTTGTATGTAAATGAAGGTAGCTTCAGTACAAAACCAAGGCAATCTTTATTTGCATCTCAAAATAGTTATTCGTTGGGTTATTTGATTCCACATTCTAATGATTCTGACACAAGTGTCAAATTAAATTGATCTTTAAAAACTTAATTGCTGCAAAACTTATCATTGATCCTTTTTATCCTCATCAGTGTATTTATAAGGACTGAATACAGCAAAATGATATGACTTCATCATTCAACATTAAAGTGTTCTTAGTTCTGTTTTCATAATACAGATATACTCAGCTTGAGAAGAAATGGTTCATTTGACAAAAATGCCATATGTATGTTTCTGGAAGCCAAATACAGTGCTTTACAAAAGTATTCAAAGCATTGCACAGTTTTCACATTCTGTTGCTTTAAAGCTTGCAGTCATAAGACTTTGAAGTAGCACTTAATTAAGATACTGAATATCCCTCTGAGCACAGTGAAGATGATCATTAAGAAGTGGAAAGCACCCAGACACTGTCAATAGCAGGCTGTCCCTCCAAACTTGGCGTCTGGGCAGGAGGAAGCTGGTTAGGGATGTCACCATGAGGTCATTGACAACTTTGAAAGAGTTACAGAATTCAGTGGCTGTTACAGGAGAAAGTTTCCATGGGTCTGTCCATAGGTCAACAATATCCCGGTCACTCCAGAAAGGGGGCTTGTATGGAACATATTTAAAATTCTGCAAAACGTTTGTGGTCATTTGACAAGATGAAATGGGAGCTTTTTGGTCTAAAGAGTATTACATCTCTTGCAAACCCAACTCAGTGCATCACTCAGTTAACACCATCCCTGTTGTCAAGCATGGTGGTGGCATATATTAAAATCCTGCTTCTCATCAGGTGGGAGTGGGATGCTCATCAAGGCTGATTGAAACATTCTCTCACAGCAGAAAACATGGGGTAGAGTTAGCCACTGTCTAGGGCATGGCATCAGAGGGAGAACAACTGCTACAAACATCACATATGTGCAGAACAAATTGGTTAAGGATGTACATTAACCAAGGCAGCATGTTTCTCTACAGTGGGAAGAAACTGGAGCACCTAAAGAAACTTTCACTCTCTGTTATAAAGAGTTTAGTCTTATGAAAATATGGGTTCTATCTCCAGAGGTTTATCACAAGCTGTAACGGGAGACAGTCCAGGCTCCC